TATATGCTAAAGTGTCCAGCCAAATTTCATAATTAGCGTTGCATGGTCTTCGCGGCTACTGTATGCTTTGAAACTGGAAGCTTTTAAAGCATACATAAAATATAAAACTGTATACGAAGTATTCTTGTTCAGTGAGCATCCACTAAATTAACAATTTGTCAATGCCCGCCAAGCATTTTTTACTACTAATGGAAACTAGTCAGCAATATCCCTGGCATTTCCATAGCGCTAAATCGTTAGATAAAGAGCCTTGTAATCGAATGCCACAAAAAGTGATCTTTTAAGACGCGACCATGGCAAATCTTAAATTTCTCAGTGATTTTCGGTTTATTGTTTAAATATACACGCATTTATTGGTTTACTGCGCGTTTAGGACGAAGTTGACACACCAACATGTACGTATTTGCACAAAGAACGGAAAACCTTGATGTTTTTAGGAAGTACGTATACGGGAATTAGGAGAGAAAATAACCATTTTGAAGACTATAATATACCAAGGTGGTAAGACCTGTTAAAATGATTGGCTAGAAGACTACCAATAGGAAGCCTTTGGGTCGCTCTACCATCCACCACAACGTATTTATGTAACACTTGCGATGGAAGTTCTGCTTCCTCGTAATAAAACGTAACATGTGTACAAAACTTGTCAATATCCTTGCAGACATAACCGGTTCTTTCCGCGTTGCTATCAGCCCCTTGCTCTTTGTGTTCGGCGTACTTGGAAATCTGGTGGCCTTCATACTATTCTTCAACAATAAACCATTGACGCGCTATAATCTCTACCCCATGATATTATGCATCATCCAGTCGATCGCTCTCTTGCTGAATGCCCTCTTAGACGACTTTTTTGGTCGGGGACTATTATTTGTCTCCGGCGGCAGCTTCTCCATCAAGGTAGACGCAGTCTCCAACGCAGCATGTCAGTTCTTTGAATTTAGCGAAATGTGGATTGGATTTGTCTCCGCGCACATCATGCTCGCCTTTGGTGTCGACAGAGTCCTATCGATTACGATGCCTTTGAGGTTTCAAAAGACTCGCTTTATCCAGGCGACACTTTGGGTGTACGCTACAATCATGGCACTCGGCGCATGTGTCAGTGCTCCCCTGACTGCACAGTATTCGCTTATAGTTGAAAGTACGTTTAGTAAACTGTTCAGTATTCTTCCAGATTTCAAGTGCTTGTCTTGAATCCTATTAAAGTAAGTTAAGAATGCTCCGCTTAGCTTACTAATGAATAAGGATCATTAGCGTGAATATCCTCCCTATAGGTCGTGTGAATTATAGGCTTCCCACATAATAATGGTGGCTATAAGCTTAATCTAACTGACATTATAGAGGTATTATTAAGGTTAGCACAAGGAAATTATTATCGTTCCTGGAATTCAGCGTAAGGATACCTGCATTACAGTGCGGCTTTAGTATTTCCGTGTCCTGTTGCGTGGCCACAGAAAAGTTCCCCAGCTAATCATCTCTGAAGTCCAAAAGCCTGCACGAAGCGCCTCATTTGTGAACTCCTCTATGTAGCTTGCCTGTTTATGAGTCCAATAGTTGTGATACTAGGGAATATTGTAAATTAGTTCAAATATTTTCAAAAACTGGTTTTAGCGTTAGGCTCTTTTCACTTAAATTCATCGGCTAAAACCTTTAGAATAATGAGTACTGCTTGATAGTTATTTCAATCACCAATTTATAGTTCTTCATTTAATTCAACTATTTAGTACGAAGATTTCTTTCTTAACAGTTTACACTAACCCGCTTCAGGTAGAACCTAATATTTCGGCTTGGAAAAAGTCCTTAAAATTTTTCAAATGACCCTTGAGGTTGGCCGCAGAGACCGCTGTTTCGTTAGAGTAGAAGCCATCGTTTTTTGGCACAAAGATATCCCTTTAGTGTCATTAAGCGGAGTGAGAAAAAAAGTGGGAAAATATATCTGAAAGTTCTCTTGGGAACTTATGCGCATATGAGAAAGCTGGTCTTACTCCAGCCATGCGTACGATAGAGGACGAGATGACGGATATTTCTGAACAACGCGGGAAACTGTGTTTTACTATAAATGGTGGACATAAGTATATGGGGGAGGAGATGGAGTAGGCATGTACTAAATGGGTTAGTGTGCTGACCGCGCAAGTCATGAGGCCGTTTCATAAGTTTTGGCAATACCAAGGCAAGCAGACGCTTTATGATCAATTTTATATGATCAGAGGTTTAAACGGAGCGATGTCACAAAACTTATTTGCAACTATGCTACTTGTTTAGTCCCTCAAAAACTCTGCTAGTCCTCCAGCGGTAAGAGGTCAGGTGCTAGGTTCTTGTACAGATTACAAAGTGAGTACTTCGCTTTTCACTTACTTTTGATATGAGGCTTGTGAAACCATCTCCAGGAAATATATATGATGAACGTTCAGGGAACATCGTCTTAAATGTGCAGAATGGACAAATGAAATTTGAACCTCGATTCTGACGAGGTCCAGTTTGTGCTGTACAGCATGGGGGTGCGGAAACAGTGGCTTGCGTATACATCTGAAGGCAGACAATCTATTAAATGAAATTTCAAGGAATTTTTATATTTTGTTGCCCAGCTTCTCAAGTATGATGACGACCTGGGTATCCAGTGTCGAAAATTAACTTGATAAAGTTTCCTCATTTTCCTCACACTGTCTTAAGTCCAGCTGCAACCTTAAACTTCCTCCTACTCTGTCCGGTATTGGCACAAGGATACTCGTATTAGGAGGGTTCCTCTTCCCAAATAATTTTTATTTGTGCTTAACTGCGACCTTCTCTATCTGTAGCTGCGACTTGTCGGCTAGGAGGTTAGCTGCAACACTATAGGGCTTATTAAGTGCGTGTTAAGCAATAAATCATAAGTGGAATCTTGATCAAGAAATCAACCATAAATTAGTACATGTATTCATGTTCGCTGGGATGGAGAGTAAGATACCGAGTGCCGCAGGGTCAACCAAGCCATAATTTAGGACTTTCATCTATTACGCTGAATAAGAAGGTAGGGCTAGGTGCATGCTCAATAGATAAGTTTGACCGGCACAAATGGCAATCACAAAGTATTACCAATCCACAGGCGCACTTTCTTAATGATCTATGTTTTTTTGCCGCCCGAAGGTGTAAATACGGTAGTTAGCTTATCGCACAAAATGTAAACCAAAATACTGAAAGTTATTTCCGACAAGAATTAATTAGCGGGCTTTGCGCCATTGATTATTCCGAAATATCTCAGCCATGCTAACATGCCCGAATTTGAAGAGTCTCTTGTAGGTCACTTGTAAAAAGCACATGTGTTAAATAATGACTGATTAAATATTGTGCATTGTTTTCATTTATTCCTGGTGTCCTTATAAAGTCAACTATATTTCCTAGAAAATATTAATAAAGCTATTTCACTTCTACTTTTTGTTAGCAAATTATGGCTTCCTTAAATTAAATACTTGAAGAGTGGGTATCTTTTGCTTCAAAACACGTTTGTAATTATGGGATTTTTATGACCATGAACTATTGCTATTGCCTATGGCATCCGTCCATTCGTGAACGCTTCTTATGAAATATGTGAAGTGGGCTGCATCTTTTAGAAAATTGTATGAATTCTACATTACCTCTTCGTAATAGCGTAGATAAAGGCCTAATTTGCCATACACGTTACGTATACGGTATCTAATTTAAAAACCGTCGGTGTGAGTGCAACTGCAGATTGATTTTAAAATTATTTCAAAGCCAACGGATAGACTTTCTTCAAATATAAATTAAAGGAAGCCGTAAGTTTATACCAAGTGGTGTATCTTAAGCACACCTAGTACACCTGGTATTACCTAAAACTTGATTTCAGAATTTTAGTTAGCATTCCGCGAGCTAGACCTGTTAATGGACACCTTCAATAATTATTATCTAGGTCAACATAACTGTACAATACCCATTCCACCCACGTAATATATGTGGCCCTTCGACAAATCTGACGAAGGGTAAACATTCGGGCGTCCTAGCCCTAACACTAACCCTATCATACAACTAAACTGCAACCTTAATCTTAAACCTAGCCCTACTCTAAACCAAAACTCCACGGTTAAACCGAACACAGAACTTAACCCGTCATATAATTCAGACTCTAAATCGGAGGTTAACATTCACCTTAATCATTAAACTAATTACTCCGTAATTTGGCGAAATCCACGTGCAATGTGGGCGATTCCTGTTCTAGTGTGCCGTTTGAGCGGCCACACAATCATCCTTACCCACTTTTGTGTTGCAGGATATGTAGCCTCCGAGTTTGAAGTTATTTCTGTTTACTGAATGCCGTCTTCTCCATATTGCTAGCAACCGTTGCAGCAAACTTTGAGGTTTTCGAAGCAAAGTCGCTGCCATTTCTTCCTTGAAGACAGGGACCCCGGAGGAAGACTTCGGCACCGATAGCAGTATTTACTGAGTCTACAGATATACATGGCCATTTCGAAGTTGGAGAGGGACTCGGAGCAATTTTTTTCAGTTTTTATCTAAATCCTCATCTTTAGGGCGGCAGTCCTTGCCATCAAAAGATTCCATGAGCGAGATGTTCATCACTGTGACCACGAACTATTGAAATATAAATGTTGACAAATCAATTGATGAGAGTGTTTATTGTTTCGTTGTTAACGGAACCCTGATGGCGAGCTGAGAGTAAGAAATTTTGCGGCAGCGATTACTTATATGAACCTCAGGCAGGAAATGAGAAAAGGAACACCCTACACAAGTAATATTTTTTGGCCTTGCGCATAATTCCATGATGGTTCGATATCTATATGCTTAACCTTAACACTTGACCAACCATAAACCTAAATCGTAGTCGTCACCCTAACCCCAACCCTTCCTTAAACCCCATATACTTGGTTAGTAGCAATATTTACCTTAACTCGAAACTTATCTTGAAAGTATCCAAACGCTGGGTTTATCCGCAGACCTATTCTTAATCATAAATCCTTCTCTATTTTTCCGGGAATGTTGCTAAAAATATTCGTATTGCAAGCGGCTTCTATTCTCGTGCGTTGCTTAGCAGACAATAAAAGTCATCCGTCTCGAGCTCTTACTTCCGAATCAGCTCCCTTACATAGCCGCTCGTTGTGATGTTTCCAATGATGACAACTAATTGAAAGGGGGACCTGTGTGCATAGACCAATATAAGTGGGTGCGAGAACTAATGCTCTTTGAGCCGCCACTGACACTGCACCGGATAACTAATTCGGATTCGAACTCCGATTAATGCTGCGCTTGCATTATGAATATTCGAGTTTTCTCAACATAATATGGGTCTTCCAACTTGTCAGGCCTGTCAGTATTGTGTGGCCACTAATCGAAAGCAACAATGGCATTGATGGATGAAATTAAAGTGTGAATACGTACAAACCTGACAGACGATAGATTTTTCTCAAACACATATTAGTGGACAGCGTTCGAACCCGTAGTCGACATAGATGGCGGTAGGTATGCGCATTACATCGAACACACTCGAAACAGCAGTCTTCGCAAGTAAAGTTATTAGAGGCAGACAAAATACGCTCAATCGAAAGTCGGAATACCCTGGCGTTTGGAATTAAATTAAATTGCAATCCTCCTTATTGGGTAACTCTGCTACGGTTACGCGTCTTATCGTAGAGCGGATTTCAGCATCTGAATCAGATTGTATATATACATAGTATTTATAGGTAGGTGACAAAAAGAGCAAATTATCAACCCCCATTAACTCTGTTTGTCACCTATTTATAAGTACTGTGAGGTGCGGTACGAAACTTACCTCCGACGACGGAAACTTGTCTGTTTTTGAAACGTCAGAAAAGTACAATTAGGGTTCCCGAGATCGCTCTTTCTTCTCATTTACGCCCGGGGATTCGCATCTTCGCTCCTATCGGCAATGTATATTTCATATAGCAAACACATTATGCCGTACTCCCGACATACTTACTAGCTAAAATTTCATATTCGTTTCGCTAATGACTCTGCCGTTGCATGATACAACAACTAGAATTTCGGCACCTCGGTTGCTCCCCCAACGTCCCCTATGCAGTTTCTGATATGTAAACTCCAGATAATAATAGAGAAAATAGTTTTGGAAATTATTAGGTGTAAGACTCGGAGGTAAGTGACCGGAAAATGACTTTT